TCCTTCTCAATTTTGAATGGCAGCTGCAAGGATGTACTTCTCCGGAGGAATGAAACCACCTCCCACAGTCCCACAGCGACAGCTTGGCAAATGACCAAAAAAACAACTGTCTAATCCGTTGTAAATGCGATAGCACCTCCCTTTCACTTTGAGTCTGAAAGGCCGCATGAAATTAATATGATGCTCAAACACTTCCAGAATCGCAAAGCTCTCTCAAATGGAGTTTGAATCCAACTTTCCAATCGTCCAAAAACTTTGCCGCTCCCCTACACAAATGATATCAAATGATCATGACAAATCAAATCACTGCATGCTGCTCTGTCGATTCCTTGAAAGCCAAGGACCGGCCTCTTGAATGTAGCACAGGAAGGCCTTGGGATCTCAACTTGTCAATAAGCAGCAAAAACCTGCCACTGAACATTACTAAACATCATTGAACATGGAATGTATTTTCCTTTTGGGACCCCCTTATGATCCTTGTGCATCCTATGCGTTGGTCGTTTTGAATTGGGGTCGCTCTGTGGCACATCTCTTGAGCCTCCGGACATGCATCGCGGAGCCAAATTGTGAAGATGCAAAGAAATTGGAAAGCCTTGGCGCCGATGGTGGCAAAATGGGCCAAAGATGTCTTGATGGCTAAATTCAATCAGAGTTGCTGTGTGTGTGTGTAGCGTAGAATGGATATGGCTCTACGAGCATGACTCAGCATGACACATGTTGTTTCATCTCGGACCCTGTTGAATACAGTCATCGGGCTAGCGCTTTGTGTCTATGCTTTGAGTATATTTGATATGTCTGTCGCTCTCCAGCTGAACAGTTCCAAATTCAAGGAAGGGAAAATCTATAGTTCAGAAGAAACCCACTAGATTGAAGTCGTGTCACTTCGAGAGCGTTTCAACACATCTGTGCTTCGAAGGTATCGAACCGGCTGCCACTGGACTGGTGAACACGGTGAACATGCAGCACGCAATCTGCATTGACACCACCTTACTCCTCCATGCTCAAAATCGCATCTGGAACGGGTTGAATGCAGCTTTGGAACCCACCATCACATCCATAGAGCTCAAACTCCTTGTTGCCAACCTGGCAATCAAAGCCTGTGGAAAGCAAACTCATCTTCGGAAGAATGCCTGTAGCATCATGTCAGCACATGTTGGACCTTGAAAAACATGTTTGCAGGTTGTTTAATGATTGGGGCTGAACTTGAATTTCTTGCAAGAAGTAAGTCAGTCAGTTTATTCTCATGGGAGGCTACAGTATACTTCGCAGAATTCCAACAGGCTGCAAAGGCCTGTTTAGCATGCTGGAGCTGGGTTGCATTGCATAACTGGCATAACTTCTAATTTTGGTTGCACCTGTTGCACCAAGAAAAGATCTGGTACCACAACATTCCACAACTCATTCGCAGCACCTTGATGGACGAAAAGCTCCCTTTTGGGACCAACCTGTTCAGGTCGAAGAGATTCGAAGAGTTGTCCAACGGAATCGATCTGGAAGGGTCTGTCGGACCTATTTATGGCATAATTTTGCGAATCAGAGAATTGTTGTTCATATGTATCTCGCAAAGGCCCCTTGTCTCTCTTGTCTGGTACATGTCCGTGAGGTTGCTGCCCATTGTGAAGGTTTGCGATTTGCGTGGGAACATCACATCTCCCTTTTTTGTGTGGACATTGCTGCGGAAGAAAGACCCTTCGAGTTCAATTTTTTGTCACACAGCGAACACGAGATGCAAACAGGAGATGTGTACAGTCTACACCTAACCAGTCAAAGGGAATACATGGGAATACTAAGAGGAATATCCATGACCCGCTTTCCTCAAAGAAATTGTAAACAGCCCACCCAACTCCGGTGCTTTTCGGCCTGTACTGCGACTGAGAGGTAGGAAATCGAAGCTTTTTGACCTCAAATAAAGCCATCTCAGTTGTCCATGTTGTTCTTGCAAAGACCCGGAAAACATGTAGCAGATCCGTGCAGATCCATGCAGCACTGCGCTCTCAGATCTCTCAGTCCGCAGCCAACGCGTCCAGCAGCAGACACGCTTGACCCCATGCAGCATTCACCTCCTCCCATGGCACCGGCTGCTCATGCAGTCGACCCATCCTGGCACGATCAGCAATTGAATGATGAAGGTTTAAGATGGTCCAACTTAAATAATTCAGAAATTAATTCCAATCTTGTTATCCCATGTTCTCCCATGTTCTCCCTTTTCCATAGCTTTGCGGAAATTTAGGATCACTGCTCCATAGCTCCATATATGCTGTCCTGAAGCCATTGATCGTTCCAAAGGGCCCATCCTGCGGCAGCATTTCACAGTTTAACACCGGGTCGTCATAAAATGATCAGCTGCAAGATCTGCAGCCGCCTTTTTGACACGCGCAAATATGTTACATGTCTATGTACAGGGTCAAACTTCAGCCAATCTCAAAGTTTACCCGGTTCTTCAATATCTTTTAGGTAAATCTCAAACCTATGCTCTTTAGCAAGGTATTTGGATACCTTTTGCACATACGTATACGCATGTGCCAAACATAACGTCAAATCACACATAAGTAAACCCATCCAGCCACATTGGAAACACATAAAGAAACACTAAGATCAAACGTCAAGCAAACACATGAAAACACAATTCATTACATATAAAAACACATACACTAACGCATATGCAAACATATCTCATATATGATGTTGGCAATGTTCACATATGAGTCGTCATATCACTCACATCATCATCATACAAATTTAAAAAAAAAAGATAATGTCATAGTTATGAAAATTAAAGATGTAAAATGCAAGAAGTCTGAATGCATCGGTGATGAGTGATAGGCATCGGGGATCAGTGATAAGTGATGAAGTGCAAAAACGGTTTCGCACAGCACTGTCAATGCAACACATTTTCCAACTGTCCCTCAGCTGGGTCGGTCTTTGCGTTGATGGGAGCCTGTGCTGTTGCATGGTGCTGCGCTCAATTTCCACTATTTCCATTCGGAATCATCATTGATTCAAATCGTGACATAAGATAAGAGATATATATATAACTGATACTGATATAACATATGGGTACTCCATCGCTGACACTCAACCTAAACAGTAACCTATGGCATACCGGTATACACATATGCATGTGCAAGTATATATGAGTGAAATGTAGTGTGTATGGCATTGTGTAATAGTGTTTATGTATATGTTTAAGATCTTATTTTTGAAAAATAAGGTCTTATACATATGTCTTGCCTTATGTGTTTGTATATGTTTAAGATCTTATTTTTGAAAAATAAGATCTTATACACATGTCTCTGCTTATGTATCTGTATATGTTTAAGATCTTATTTTTGAAAAATAAGATCTTATACGCATGTCTTTGCTTATGTTTTTTTTAGTGTTTATGTATGTGTATAAGATCTTATTTTTGAAAAATAAGGTCTTATACACATGTGCTGACACATGTCAACATTGACTTGTACACTAAGCGCGCGCAAGCAGGCACATGTACGCACACATGTGGGTACATATGAGTACACATGAGACACATATGACACATATGTGTAATGTAAATGTAATACATGTGTTTGCATATGTGCTTGCATATGTGTAATTATGTGTTTGCATATGTGTACACATATGTATAAGATCTTAAAATTGCAAATTTTTGAGAAAATAAGATCTTATACATATGTTGGCACATATAAAAACATATAATTAACACATATGGCAACACTAACCAACACAAACACATACACAAACAAAACATATGCAGTGCGCAAATCAACATGCGATTTGATATGTGACGGTATGCGCAAGACATGCGCCGCCTTTTGCCTAAGCTTGTGTTAATACATGTGTGACCACATGTGCATCTGTAAATGTTCCTGATGTATCCTGTAGTGTTAAGCTTTGTGTTCATATGTGTTATAAAAATGCACTGTATGTGAAATACATGTGTTGAACACATGCCTGACACATAAGGTGCACATGTCTCTTCACATATCTAACACAAGTCACCCACATAGCACACACATGTCTCGCACATATACCAACATTGACAGTACATATGTGAAACATCATTTCCCGGTGTCACTGCACATGCCAAAACCTTCAATGTCGATTGACCTGCGCATGGTCCATGGTCCATGGTCTTAAGTTCATATATCTACATATCGTTTTCACACTCTATGTTTGTCAGACATGCTTTCACTTTCTGCAGCAACCAGCTTCAAAACAAACCGGCCAAATCAAACGACCGTTCCTGCTGATCATGACAAGGACGATGATAGTGATGATGATGATGGTGATGATGATTACTGTGTCACGCTACTGCAGCACATCGTTATCATTATCGTCAATCATAGTAACATCAATCATATCATCATATCATATCATATCTCTCTGACTGACCTTGTGCCTCCCGCCCTGTGCCCTAGTCAGGGACCTGTAATGCGACGAAGGGCCGCTGTGGTGTTGGCAAGCGGCGTTTGCGTTTGTTTGTGTTTAACATGCGTTTGCACTTGTGAACCTCTTATGTCATCCTATGTGTTGTTATGTGTTTGGCTATGCGTCGGCTTATGTTTGCTTTGATGTTTGCTTGCGCGCTGTCTTGCGTTAGCATGTGCAACCATATACGACATGTCTTACGTATGTCACCCACATCTACATGTACGTGGCAACGTCATCTCTCTAAAGAGCATTAGGAAACCATTGGTTTGGGATCAAGCTAAAATATCTTGCATATCTTGAATATCATTGTTCAGTATTGTTCATTCGTCTGGAATATCTGGAATGCTGACAACAAGCGCCCATCAAACTTTGCGAGCAGCTGAAGCTAGATGTCGCACTAGATGATAGTCAAACAATCGCTCGCAGTGGCAAACCAGCGATTTTAGCCGGTCCACAGAATGGCCGTCTCCATTCGATCCGTTGGTATTCAGCACAAGCCAAACCCCAAAGATGATCGTCGAAACCACAGCCACAAACAACAAGCACCACATCAATTTCCATGTTCCAAACCCACAAGCAAATGCAAACCAAGCAACTACCAACTACCCAACAAACACAGACCAATTTCGACTTCTGCACCGACCTTCCCACCATCAGCTGCTAAGACAGAGCTCATCCTGAACTTAATAACTACTGGAAGTCCCGCGGCCAATCAACCAGTGGTTTTTCACTGTGGTAATATGCCAGCGACGGCCACGTGAAGCCTCAGAAGTTGCGATCCGGTAGGATCTTTGGAGCCACCAGCGTCCAGGCATAGACGACCAGGCAAGCCTCAGAGTGGAATCCCTGCGGGTTCTGCGGGTTACCCTGGTTGCCCTGCAGGATGCCAAAGGCAGAGTCGAGCGCCAAGGCCGCCAAGGTACAAACACCGTGCCAGCACGGATATTGAAGCGCAACCAACTCACCTGAGCTACTAAAGCTGACTGAATCAGTACAGTGAACATACGCAAAGTCATGATGTGTTCTCTCTATTTTGAAGTAACCTTCTGATGTGGCAGATCCAATGGTAAATTGTCAGCTGGAATCAGCCGTTTTGTTCGCATATTTTTTTTGCACATGTTTGGTGCATCTCAAAAGGGGTTTGCTATTGGGTTCACATCACATCATCACCGCCCACGTCCTGCATCCACCCAGCTGCTCGCGGTGCAAGGACGGAGGTGACATAGAAATCCGCCAGAAAGTGCACGAAGCAGCGCAGATAGAAGTCGTTGGCTTCCTCAGCGCATGGAGCCTCATGGATCCTTATCAGTGGTACCGTGATCCACAAATCCTTCCATATCTTCCATGCCAAGCTGCAAAATCATCCCCCTCTGTTCTCTGCACCGAGATCACCCCGGCCAAGTGCCTCCATTTTCCAGCAAGTTGTGTCTCACAAAAAAATCCCAGGAAATTGAAACTGTCAGCGGTGCCTGGCTGGGCTACTGCTGATGGCGAAGTATGTCAAACTCACGGCGGGCACCAATAGTCCCAACCTTTCAGTTTCCCGGGTGGCAATGATACCACCCTCCCAGATGTCAACTTTACCAGGAAAAGGTACTTGTATTATCATGTATTATCTATATCATCCTGGGTTCATGAGATGGCGCGGCAGGGCAAAATACAATGATTGCAATGATTGCAATGGGGACAGCAAAAACTCAGCCTGGTATCAAAGGAATCTCCCAGCGTGCCGTCAGTGGCCAAGTGACATGGTGGTTGGCAGATCCTCCGACGTCTGGGAGGTTGGCTGGATCCGAGCTGTTTGGCCGCACAAATAGATGCTGTAGGCAAACATCACCTGGACAGACATGGCAATGGTGGTGCTACGGAGGTTTCTTGAAATAGGGGTACCCCTAAATCATCCATTTTAATAGGATTTTCCATTACAAACCATCCATTTGGGATCATTTGGGGGTATCCCCATTTATGGAAACCCCCATATGTTGAAAAGCTATGAAAAGTTGACACCAAGGGTCTGCTGAGGTCAGCAGGGATCCATGTTCACACCAGCTGGTGATGCTCAGCAGGAGCAGCAAAGTAGACCCCACGATAGCAGAAATCACACACCAAGTGACCTGGAGTCAGACTGAGTCAGTCGGTTTCAGTTGCTTCGGTGTCTTTGCCAACAGTTGCTATCCTAATCTGCGATCCCAAAACTCTCCAGAACGACTTGATCAGTTGATACCAATGTCAGCAGAAGAAAAAAAGTGCGTTGTCATGTTTCATTACATGGAATCAAACCATACAAACCAGATCAACATACAGTAGCATGTGAACCACGACCAGAGATAAAGGCGAGGAACTGATGGATAGGCCACGCAGAGGTAGATGGAGCCAGCCAACCTTGGGCACGAGACTAGGTCCCGTCGCAACAAAAAAACATGCATGCTGGCGGGTTGTTGTTTCTTTGTTTTGCATACAGTTGAACACCTGGTATAATTAAATATAATTAAAGATTAGTCATTACCAGTGACCAGTGAATTACCAGTATATAACATTATATAATCACATTCAACATTATTTAACAATCGCATTTTGTTGCCGCCATTTTGAGAAGCTCAGCCAGGAGGCGATATAAGAAGCAAGGCAATTGAGGCGCTGATCATGATCGCCAAACGACCTCTGTAGGCCTTGAGACATACAGCGGTCGCTTGTTTTTTGGGTCTCCAAGTCTCTAGCCGGACTGATTCCAATAGGCATCAATTTCTGTGAAGAACATTCTTCTGCTGTGACACGAATACTCCAAAAACACAACTGTGCTCGATCACATTGCAAGGCGTTCCAAGTTTTGTATGAAATGAGCTTTATAAATTTAGTAAACAGTTCAAGATAGCTTAAGTATGTTGCAGAATGCGTTTTAAGCTGCCCCAAGCGATTCAGAACCCCCGGACTGCACCGGGCCTGTGAGTTCATCGATCTTCGTCTCGCCTGCACCTGCAAAGATATGCAAAGTTGAGCCCCAGAAGATATTTGAAGCACCACATCTGGCTGAATCTGGCCTCTTGATTTTAAGATACTTTAAGTTTCAAATAGTTCGCTTTTGGTCACTTTTGGTCACTTTTGGTCATTCGGTCAGACATTCGCTGAAATCTTCCCACGACTTTCCGACGGCATCACCGCCAAAGCACCGCCGAGTCGTAGAGGCAATCATTCAAATTGTAAGCACCGTCGATGAAAAGAACAGCCTTGCCATGACTGTGACATGACGACATGACGACATGACTGTGACATGACCTATGGATACCTCACGATACCTCTGGGTCCTCCAAATTGAGGAATTGGGCTGGTGTGTCTCGGTTGGTGCCTCTGCATCGTTGGGTCTTCGGATGTCTTTGGTCATGACAATTGAATACAACACAAAGCATCACATATTTGTTCCTCCAGCTAATTTCCTATGGGCATCTGTTGTCCTATCAATCTAAGCTCCGCATTCACGCTGTGGATATGACACTCGCAAATCGCGAACTGGCAAGACTGCATACTGCATAGTACCCATTTGCCTGTAGCACTCGGTAAGCAGCTGAGGCAAACCTGCAAATTCGCGCAGCCAGTGGACGGAACATGATGGGGTGTGTAAAATAAGAAATGTTTTTTTTCTCAGTTGATTTCATTTGAGCCCCCCACATACTGAAGATGTCCAGAGGAACAAAGATCACATTGGGAAAGAAGAGAATGATCCACAGAATCAAGGACCTTGGTCTTGGTCTTGTAAGATCTTGTAAGCAACTTTGCTCAATGCTTCACTCGCTTCACTCCATGACACAATGGAAACATGTCCATTTTACCTGGGTTATTTGGTCAGCCATGTACATCCACGGGAATTTGCTCGTGCCAAGACATGTGTTCTGACTTTTTGTATCTTTTTGTCAGGTTGTTAAACGGACTGGTCGATGTTGACATCCGAAGATGCTTAAATTTGGCTGAGTTGCTGAATTCCAATCACAGACCTCAGCTGCAAGGGAGCCCCGGTTTGGCGCTCGAAAACGCCTTGGGCGTCCCAGCACCAGCGCACGTCCAAGGTACAAAAGAAGAACAATCTGCGAGCGCTGCATCAGAGAAGATTTGCCACACGTCAGAGCAGCTAACCTCAGAGCAAGGGCTCAAGGGGTGAGATTCTAAACCAAAGGTCGATTCTCAATAAAAGGTGTCAGGCAAACAATTCATTCCACATATATTCAGTTTGAATTGGTGTTTTTTCGACCTTTGCCTCCATGTCCATGTGGTTTGTTCTAGATGGTACCCACCTCTGCAACATCTTGCCACGTGATGCATGGATGCTGGGTCCAAGTTGTCCAAGTTGTCCAAGTTGTCCAAGTTGTCCAAGTTGTCCAAGGTGCATGGTGTACATCAGCAGGGAAGAGACTTCAGTACCTGCAAGGGGAGGAGTTGCCGGAATATGTCAAAATCACCTGTACCAGCTCCAAAGTGAAGCTAAAGTTGGAAATGTTTCAATCGCAATTGATTTGAGATTTTGACTTAGCTTCACATATTTGCAGCATTTTGCAGCACCCTTTGCATCAGCATCAACCTTTGGGTCACGAAAGGCCAATTGATCTCGCCAGCACTCTCCATTGCCAGAGCCTCTCAACCCGGTGATACCCGGTGATGGAACCACTGGAGCCACGCCTACCCGGCTACCCTTAAGGACCTGATGGCACTGGCCTTCACATTTTTGGGTTCAAGTGTACCTCCTGATACTGCCTGATACTGCCTGATACATTATAATCATTAGATCTTCCCAGATTTTTTAAGGTCAAAGAAGCGCTCCACGAGAAGGCATTCATGACTTGACGTCATTATTTCGAGTTGTGTTGCAGTGATATTTGGAGACGTCTTGAGTATACTACACCACAACCTGTCGTTCAAATAATCCAATTGGTGCAGCGTTAACCCCAGGCATACGTCCCTGGAATGGGCCTTCACATTCACAGATGCCAATGGTGAGCTGGCCTAGGTCAACGCAGCTGTAGGAAGTCTCAGTTGTTTTTCGGAATCTCCGGTCGGATGCTGCCAAAGTGGCCACAGCCAGGCACCAATCGAAGCAGCAGTGCCCAGAAGACCCGAAGGGCCTGCACAACTACCAGCAACCTTAGACTTCAATGGGTCAGATCCCTGGCAGGTGATAAATGGTGATAAGGCCTGATAAGGGCTTCATACCGGGAACCCGGGAACCCGGGAACCCGGGAACCCGGGAACCCGGGAACCCGGGAACCCGGTACCGTGCTTCATTGTGGGAATGTCATAAAATTTGAACAGGAACACTGCAACATGTCCACACTCAGGCACGGGCCAATGCGAAAACTGCCGCGACTGCATCCACACTCAAACCCATGACCAGCGTAACGCTGACCAGAGTGGCTCGAAATAGTCAGTGTTTACTCAGGAAATGCTTGCAGAAATCTGATGGACACTGATGTCATCATAATCCCGACAGGTCAGAAGAGGACCACTCCCCGGTGGCAGTGTCCATGCGAAGGCTTCAAACAATGCTTCACTTCATGAAGGAACTTTTACAGTGACATTCTGCAACTCCATGGAGACATTCTTGTGTTCAAAACAGGCTGTTCAAGTCGCACCTGCATTGCTCTGCGAGCACCCAGAGCCGCTAATAGCTACCAGGTGAACCCACCATGGAAGGATCAGGGCTCTCACGGTTGAACCATCCAGAATCACATGATGTCATGCCCAGCCTGTGCGATCTGGAACATTTCCTGACATTGAGATGTCCACTGACTGAACGCATAGTCTGAGAGTGCTCAACCCCAAATTGCTGGCTGCAAAACGGTTGACAATTGCGAATTTCTCAGGGTCAGGTGGTCTTCATTTCTCGGGCTTTGCACAACAAGTTTTTGTGCTACAAGTATGTGACGACCATGCCAGCAGCACGTTCAGCACGTTGCTGCGACGTAGGCGGCTGAGCTCTTGCGATGCCTCAGCTATTCGTTGACAACATGGCCCATTATTGCACTGACACCATCCATCACCATCCTACTGCAGCCAAAAAAAGATCTGACACATCTGGCGGCCAACTGAGACTGAGAGTACCTTGGAGCATCCAATGGGACCTTGATGGACCTTGATGGACCAGCGTTTTTAACATCCGGAGCTGGTGATCACTGGTGATCTATTTCGAGTCTATGTCTCCGCACATACCGGATCGCAGAGGCCGTGGCTCCTCGCTCCTGATCTCCACTATCCACAGTCATTCCGAATGACGTTAATCATCATCCATACACCAAAGAGGTGAAAGAGGACTAACCGGTGAAAGACCAGTCTACTTAGTTCCCTTCTTGAATTCACTAACAAACTTTTGGATACATCTCATAACTCTCATATCATTATAATGACATTATGGACATGACATCTCAACCGGCCTCTTCCATGTCTTGAAGGTCCAGTTGATACTGCGCCACACGGGTCCAGAAATCTTCCTCCTCACAGTGGTTGAACCGTATGGGACCAACAGCACCTCCAAATGGACCTGCGATGTCCAAAAAAAGCACCATTTATAGATAGATGATGCTAGATTTATAGTTGATTTCCCCAATTTCCCATTAAAACATATGAAAACCTTCATTTACAATCATTTTTGGGAGATTTTCCCATATTTACCCATGACGTTCCTGTTAAACCCTCCAGCTGGGGATTTCCCAGCTGGTCATGGATCAAGGGGACAGTGATGGGGCCTCACGTTGCAGCTGCTCTTCCTGTTGTCGTTGCCGAGCCAGGTCAGCCTCAGTGGACCAAGACCGCGAATTTCACATCCCCAGAATGAATGGAATAAACTATATCATACTACTGACAGTACTATATCATATACTCTTTGAGATGATTTTGGTAAGATGGTAATTTAGTGTAATTTACCAATTCCCCATAGCCCATTTACCAATACCCGCAATAGCCGAATCGCCATCATCTTTCAGAGGGCATCATGAAGAAGACCGACCTACCAACCCCTCGCTACCAAGGTGTGAATTGATATCCACCATGCTGGGATTTGTTGCGCGTATAATTTGGGACACACCCAGAAGTTGTATCTCTGAGCTGCATTGGTCTGAGTCGCCGCACCAGCAATTCCTGCTCCTCTTTCTTGCACGCCTGATATTGATTCAGCTTGACACCCAGCAATGACGAGGCTATGACTTCCAGCAGCCAACCACAATCCCGGCAATCATGCACAGTTCGAATTTACTCTTTTTTGACTTTATAAATTCAGATCAATTTGAAGGTTATGTTCCAATAACCAACATCAAACCAATCATCCACGGTGATAAGTTCCCCGACTCTTGGACTATATGAGTATCTATTTCCAGAACTAAAAACTCCCAACAACCAATATGAAACCACCAGCACTGGAAATCATGTAAGTCCCAGCAAATAGATACTTACAAAAATGTACACAGAGAGAGAGAGAGGAAAAACATATTCAATATACATACAGATATAGGCATATACACGTCATACACGTACATATGATATTTATGCTTATAGACAGATAGACAGCGATCGATAGATAGCTAGCTAGCTAGATGGCTGGATAGATATAATAAGCTATGTCTATATATATATACAATTATGTGTGTATATATATATGTGTGTGTAAACAAAATATACAAATCTCTGATCATCTCTGGCTCTGTGTGAGTTTAGATTTATCTCCCAACCAACCTGCCACGGTCACACCTCCAAGGCAGCCAGCAGCTCCTGCTCCTCCTGCTCCATGGCGCTGATTTCGGCCTCCGGGAGACCAGATTGGACCTGGCAATCATTGGGACTGTTAAGACTATATATCGTATATACATCATTTATTTACATATGATATATTATACATAATTATACATATACATATATACATATATATACTGTGTATATATATATATATATTATGTAAATTCATAGTTCATATGTTTTAATAACATATAGATTATCTATCTCAACCATCCAATCTGGGTAATTTTTGGATGTGGAACCAATGGTGGATGTCTGGCAGTGGAAGTCTATGGCACCACGCTGTCTGTTTCCTGAATCATGTCGGAACACATGGCATCTCAGATGCAGCTACATTGTTTGATCCCACCATAATCACCGTAGACAAACTCAACACTCAACAGTTTTGATTAACCCAAAGGTTTCAGTCCCGCAGTGTTCATCCATCAGATCAAGCAGATCCCATCTCGCACCTCCACGGCTTCCTAATCAGAAAATGTCTGACAGCTGAGTATCAAATCGGTGATTGGTAGTATCCTGATGGTTTTGCTATCTTGTTTTAATCTGGCGTTGGGTACTAAACTGATCAACGTGAATAGTCTCAGCCATCCAACTTGACCATTTTTTGCATGTCTTTCTCCCCAACAAATAGGGGCTGCCATGCTATCTTTCAAATAGCATGTATCCCAACACCGGCATCTGTACATTTACAATAGCAACCTCTCCCAATCAACAACAGCTCCCAATCCGGCTCCTCGTTCTCGACTTCCTGTTGCAGGCGCTGATAGGCCTCGCTAAACGAAAATCGAGCAACTCATCGACTCATTGGATCCTTCCATGAACATCAACCCTGAGGATCCATGGATCAACATCAACATCTAGAAAAACATCAATTTTCTATGGAACATCAACCATAAACAGACCATCAGCAGCACATGAAAAACACGCCTCGTTGTAGGTACGATTCTCCTCTGCAGCCTGCAGTTTGGACAGTGTCGTAACTGTGTCCTTTAAGAAAGCAAGAAGCAAATGGGAAGCAAATGCTGAACGATAATACTCAAATATACTCAAACAATACTCGGTTTTGTATAGTTGTGTATATCTTCAAATTGGATTAAGAACAGAAAAACTCGAGCGCCACTGACTCTTTTTCCTGCCAAATCGCATGTGTTTGCCCGGCAGCGTCTCCACCCGAAAGCTCTGGTAGCCATTCGGATCCAGCTAGATGCCAACCCAAGATGATTGGGCCACTTCCAGGGATTCACGTGGGGACATATCTAAAATACACAGAGTGCATATCGTTCCATGGTTTTCTTTGGCGTACAAAATCCTATCAAGATCCGATGCATTTCTTTGCAACCTCATTCAAGATCTTGGAGAACATGCCCCTGCAAATGCAGGCAATTTGGCGGCTTCACCGTGGATGTTTGAAGCCTTGATGTTACTGGTGGATATTCCTACAAGCATCAAGAATCAATCTGCAGTCAGAATGGCTGCCACTTGGCTGAGACACTTCAGACTTTCATGGCACAGGCCTTTCACAGAGGGGAATTCGATCCAAATCACATTCACAAAATATTTGCCGATGACTTTGTGTCGAGATCGGAGCTACCTTTCTCTTGCAATATTTCTTTGTTTCCCTTTGTTTCCTCCAACAATTTCAGAAGTAATTGTCTGCGATCAGCTTTCGAAGCCTCAAAAGCAGAATCTTGCTTTTCTGTAATTAGGACACAATACTTCCAGGTACAATCCAGCTGCTTCACATCTGCTGATCGAAGCTTACAAGTCTCACAACTGGTCTGTGAAAAACACTCGTCCAAGCCTGTTCAGCTCAAATCTGGGCACATTGAGGCATACATACTATGCGTCAAAAGCGAACAAAGTGCTGAATTTCTGGAAATCTGACAATAGACGGTCAAACAGACCATGATCTTTCTCTTTCTTTTGCCGAAAATATCTAGGAATCTAGGTCACCCTATGATGAGGATCAACTTGGGCATCACAACAATGTCAAGCTGCTCAAGCTACCCCGGGCCTTCACATGTTCACAAATCAGCCAATATATGCCCTGGGCAGTGGGAGATGGGCAGGATACTGTGGATCCAAGTGATCAGTCTCCGGGACATGGTACGTTTCCTGCTTATATCCAAGCAACTCCAGCAGTATGCCGCACAAGAGTCCCACGAAAAATAGAGCCTTAGGCTGCGATGAATGTGCCATTTGGGATGCCATTTGGGATGGTCTTCCGTGCACATCTTGTCGTCGGTCGGTGTGGGAAACCTGGTTTTCAGTGAACTATGTCAACATCTCCGCAACACACCGGAGCTCATTGGGTTTCACCAAACTGAATCCACACCAAATGGGATCATCATGGGAGTATCAATGGAATTGTTGATGGGATGATCACTTTCCATTACGAATAAGCCTTAACCTACATATATATATATATACATATATATATATATAGTAAGATATACATATATATATGGGTATGTCTCAAAATGAAGTGCCCTTTTTGGACCCCAAAATGTTACTTTAAAGAGGAGAAAAGGGCACCTCAGTTTGAGACATACCCATATATGTATTTAGATCATGTTTAGGCATGTGTTTATCTCTAGCAGGAATTTCTAGATATGCAGAATCCAAACCCAGGCCAGATGGCCATGGCGGATTGCCATGGCCTTTTTCGCCACGTCACATTGATCACCGCCGATCCGTTGGCCACACTCTGCGCCTCTGTGAGGAGCTCCTTGGATCACCATTTGAGTGGATGCTAATATGGGATTTATATGGGAGATACCCTCTGGTAAACTAACATAGCTATGGAAAATCACCATTTATAGTGAGTTTTCCCATTGAAAATGGTGATTTTCCATAGTTATGTTAGTTTACCAAAGGGTATCATGGATTATCCATGAATGGGATGATTGGGATGTCGGATCTTTTGGATGAGGTTTTTTCTCTTTCATGGATTGTAAGATTCCAGACATGGGATCATGAATCGAAGAATCCCACCATGTCATTGCCATGTCATTGCCATGTCATTGCCACGTCCGAATGTGTCCCATGAAGCCATGGGTCAGGAATCATCAGTCAATTGGATGGGAACCTGACAACTATGGTGACATCCATAAACCATCAACGATACCCGAAATGAGCCATTCTGTTTGTTCCTCTAAATCCTCTAAACATCAAGCAGTAGCTTTGTGACTGGGTTGACGACATTTTGTTTCAAATTTCTGCAATAAGCCCGGAAATTGAAAACACCTGATCATTCCAGTAAGGGTGTGTCCTGCGTGACCAGGAAGAGGAGCGCCACGATTGCAAAGCTGATAAAGGCCTTGGGGGGGGAAAAATGGCTCATCCAAAACTCAGACCTGAAATTCTGAAACATCCATATCCTATATCATCATATTTCATCATATTTCATCATATTTCCATGTTCATCATATTTCATCCAAATCCGCATCTTTCAGAACATGGTGGAAGATCCAGGTGACCAAAAAACTTGGTGCATCTCAGTGGCAACAAAGGTGCCAGGGCTCTCTGAGAACATGTATCCCAGCCTCGGTCCAAACGACTTTGATCTTTGGGTCAAACTTAGAGAAGACATGGTAGAACTCAACAGAAACTCCAAACATCTGCCAGGTTGTCTATTTTAAGGGAAATCATGCTGGTTAATAGAGATAGCCTTACCTATATGCTTTGGATGTTGCGGAGGTTCTGCCCGATTTGAATCCAATCTGATAATCTTGAGCTTCATGATCATTCCATCCATCTCCCACTACAGACCTAAGATTCTAAGTTATCTAAGTTATCTAAGTTCCTGATCCTCCAACGATTTTCCGTTCCACCTTTTGTCCAATCGAAAGCCGCCAAGAAATTCTTGCGGCTCAGCCGCGAATTTCCACCCAGGCCAGCCAGCAATAGGACCACCGGTGGTATACAGGCCACGGTGATAATCTTCCAGGCCTCGGTGTGTTGAGAAAGGCTGATGGTGCGGCCGTGCCTTTTATATAGAATTGTTGAGAAAGAGATTGACTCCAAAAATCGGAGCATTGGATATTTTATGATATATTTTGATATATTTTGAATATGTCAGAATGACCATCTGAACTCTCCGGTCTGAAGATTTGACCCACCAAAAATCGTGGAAAAACCGACCCAAAAAACCCATCCCCCCATCTCCAAGGTGCAGTTCGGGTGGCATTCTGCAGCGATGCTGTAAAGGAAAGGCCCAAGAAGCCCATTTCCTCAGCGATTTTGGGAAGCGATTTTGGCGCCTGCCTATGGCGCCTGCCTCTGCATGTTGGGGCTGCCAACCAACTGTTCCCTGCATAAACCCACAAATCCCGGAGAAAATTCAAACAGGCAATAGGGGAGGGTACAAGCATTCGGCCACTTTTTGCTATAAGCTGAACCTCGAAAAGAGAGAAATCTATGCAGCGCCCCTTCGGATGATTCATCGACAGGCGTGCCCTAGGTCTAAAAATGAGCTAAAAGCCATGCATTGATGAACCATGTCAATTTTCACTGCCAACTCCCTCAGTTTCAACATGTTTCAACGTTATTTGGTCAGATTTGATCCACCTCGCTTGTCTCAATACGTACTGTCTGTATATATATATATATAGTCTTCTGTTCTTTCTGTCTGAGCCAGCAGTGAACGTCTCTCACTCATGATATTATCATATATTTTCCAGCTCGAAGCTGAAGGCTGCCTGCATCCACAGAGGTGAGCAGGTGGTCCAATCGCAGCTAGCATTGGTACAGTGAAACGTGATGTGACGGTGCACATTCCTCTCACATCTGCAGCATCGCTACAACTAACGACTTTGCTCCAACAAGACTCTACTGGACTCATCATTTACTCATCATTAAATCATCAAATCATCAACTAGCACTTGCAACACTCATTCCAGCTCCATCATTTACTCATCATTCATCATGTCCCTCCAGTTCTGCACCTCCTTAGAGACCCTTGGGGATGAAGTCGCCCACTGTGGACTGGAACTCCGCCTTGGAGCCATGAACTCAATGGCTTGCAGATGATTTACTTATATCTAGCTGCTGAAAAATGTGAAAATGCAGATTTTCGGAGACTGTCTGTCTGTCTGTCTATCTATCTACCTTATGTACATATATATATATATGTATATATATATACATATATTTATCTATACATAGTATATGATATAGATGTTCACCACAAATATGCAATGTTGCTATGGAGTATGGAGAAAATAACCAACAAAAACGGCAGCTTTGTGGCAGCATGGGACCCGTCCACCCGCCTGCGTGAAGTTGGGGATCAAAGATGGACCCTGCCCGGTGGAGGCATTGGTGAGCACCTGAGAGGCTGCAACTGGGTTGGTTTCAGGGAAATGTTGCAGGAAACGATGGTTTTGCCAATAACATCTGAGGGGTGTGAATGTCCCCTTGAACCAATTCCGAGACTTCTGCAACTTATGGGTTTGCACACCTCAGGCATGGGTTTCTAGAAGCGTGAAGCTTGCCATATCCGAAATGCCACTAGTTGCATCTACCAAGCTCCTCAAGGCTTCTTTAAAAACCAACCATCCTTCCCATCCTTCCCATCCTTCCCATCCTTCCCATCCTTCCCATCCTTCCCATCCTTCCCATCCTTCCCATCCTTCCCATCCTTCCCATCCTTCCCATCCTTCCCATCCTTCCCATCCTTCAATCAGTTTGGTCCTTGTTTCCAACTCAGCGGCCATGAAGAAGAAGCCCACCATGGCGAGTGAAGAAGAAGCCCACCATGGCGAGGCGCATGCAGTGTTGATCTCCCTGAGGCGCATGTTGTTCCACTCCTGCACGAAATAAAAATGGCGAGCCACGGGTTGCAACCAAATCAATGGATAAGGCTTGGAAAATATACACATGTGTATATAATGTATGTATATATATAATGTATATAATGTATATAATGTATATATATAATGTATATAATGTATATAATGTATATAATGTATATAATGTATATAATGTATATAGTGTATATAATGTATATAATGTGTATATATATATATAATGTATATATCTAATATATGCATCATGGGTTCTTAGGTCCAATCACTAACAGTTACAACGCATGCCGTTGTGATCTTGAATTGTTTTCCAATTCTAACAAGTCGGGGTACTAATCAAATACGTATGCCACACTCCTGTCCAATAATTCCATCTTCCAAAGCCCAAGGACTGAATTTCAAGCATGTCATGTCCCTAAAACAATGCATTGATTCATTGAAGTCACCTCCTATGTGGACATGTTGTAGTGAGCGTTGTGCTTCAAAAATCATTGATGTGGCTGCACCTCAGGCTTGTAGTTGGCGGTAAAGGTAGGACCGAACCATTTGGGCCTCTGTCGACTTGGCCAGTTGAGTCGATACAAATCAGTCAACATGGTTTTCAACCAGTTTTTCTCGTATATTTTTAGCTGTCTCTTTTCAAATCGGAATGCCAAATCCAGAAATTTCAGTTGTGGCAGATTCCTTTCTTTCCCCAAGAAAAGCGCCTCTTGGAGCTCATTGGAGCAGTGGGGTTCCAACCCAAGTCTCCAGGCTGGACGCCTTCGCCTAGTTCCAAAGCTGGCATCGGATGCATCGGTAAATCCGGTTCATCATCCTCCTGATTCAATAGTTTCAATAGTCATTTTGGGGCAACTCTACATCAGTCTACCGGGATTTTCACCAGACAGACACCACCCAGACACCAGATCCTCTCAGATCACCCAGTGGCTGTACTTGGTGATGACATTCTCATACCGCCACAGCTCGGAAAGAGCAATCACAACGAGGATCTGCAGCCATCCAATGATGGGCACCTGTCGCATCGTCGAAAAAAAACGACACAGATGCCATCCCAGTCAGATGTGAAAACTCCACATCATTTGGGAAAAAATATGGAAAAATCAGATGACCATAGATGACATCCACAGACCCTAAATGATTCTGGCTTCGGTAGAAATTGATGCCACGTTCGGATGGGTGGCCGATGGTACCGATTCCGCCTGGGTGGCCGCCTTCAGTGGATCCGCTGAGTCAGTGGGATAACCTGCCGCTGAAAAAAACGGTTCAGACGTTCGTTGTAGGATTGAAAAATACGTCGCATCCATGGATACTCATCTATACATATCTATACCATAGATACTTGATATGATCGGCCAAAAAAAAAACGTGGTGTACGCCTTTTTGAACCGTCCACAAATCTCTATAAAGTCATTCCTTCTGTCCACCAGTTCTCCGAGCTGCGGGTGATGAAGGGCTCCAACTTGGCTCCAGAGGTCTGCACGGTGTAACCCAAGGTGGCCAACATGCACACGCGGCCGTGGGCCAATTCAGCCTCCCGGTACCTGCCACCGATGGACCGATGCCGTTTGGAGCTTGGGAAAGCCAAAAAAAGTCCAAGTTCTGAAAAAAACAAAGTCCCAGCATGATCCGGTACAATATATATATATATATATTTATCACATTTGATTACAATATATTACAATCACATTTTGTTACGTTTCTTTGTTTGCGCAGACTGTACCAAGAGGAGCACCAGGGCAGCAAGCGCTGGTTCTTTGCAAAGCCGGCGGGGTCGAAGCCCGCATCCCCCACATAAGGGCCGAAGATATCGTTGGTGAGGCCTGGCTGAACAGGCCTAATTGGTTCAATTCTGGAAGCATCACCGAAAATAGTATATCCAAAATGAGAGTTCCAGAATATTCCAGTCATCTAATGAATCTCATCTAGTGAATGAATCTACTAATATAGCTAATATCATATCAATAATATTCAATAATTATATGATTTGTAATGATGTTCATCTAAACTAATAATTACTCAAAACTAATATCACTCTTGATCGATTCTGCTCGATGCTTCTCCCCAGCCGGGCCTTCTGGCACTGGCGCCCACGGCAGCGCCTCCGAGTTGGCACGGAGCACCATGCGGTCCGTCTCCTCCGTGGCTTTGAGAAGGTTCATAGGATTTCATAGCTTTGTGCTGTGGTATTGCCAGACATTCCAAGTCATATCCCCAGATGACCATAGATGACCACCATCCCCAAGATCCCCAAGATCCCCAAGTCGGCCAGTCCTGCTTCGCATAGCCACCGATGAAGGGGTTCAGGTTTCCAGTGGTGAACTGCTCGACCAAGGACTGTCCAGTGGCACCATTCTGAGCGACAATGGCCGCCATGGCCACCATGGCCAAGCGGCCGTTGTTAATCCTTGGAACGACACGCTTTCGGCTGTCTCCTACAGTATTCTGTAGTCGTTGTGGTCTATGGAGCTCCTCAAAATGCTACAGTCTATGGTTCATCGTCATTGGACACCGTCCACCGCAAGTAGAAATCAGGTAGGAATCCTGCGATTCAAATTCTCATGACCATTGTCCTGCCAGTGCACCACTCTTTGAAAGCAGATTAGGCAGGGCCAAAGAAGTTGCAAATCACTTCAGAGAACAGCACAGAAACAAGATTTGCTTTCAAACCGGTCTTTATCCAGCACTGACAACGTAATCTGTGAGGTATTGCCCTTTCGTCCAAGGGTCTCTGCCAACAGTTTCTTCTCTTTCTCCTTGCATCGTAACACACCAAACCAACCGGCTGGACAGCGTCCAGGTAATGACAGTATCGAAACATGAACTTGGAGTGCAGGAGGTATAAAGGGTATAAATCATGATGGAAGGTATACTGTAAATCATGATGAAAACATACATTGACATACATCACCTATCTGCAGAAGTGTCCATTGGTCTCACCAGCCTGGAGATCTGCAGCCCGAACCCATTTCTCCCCATCTCCTCAGGAGAGAGCTTGTTGATCTGTCCCCAGAAAGGAGGATAGCCATAGTTCCTTGGGACACCACGCAGCTCACTGGTCGACAAAGGTTCTGACACCGCGACCGGCGAAATAATTGTGATATCCGTGATATCTATCAAAGAATCCACTCCAAAAGAGACCGTTTAAAAGGTTTGTGAACATTGGATTTTTGCATGTCCATCATGTCCATCATGTCCATCGCCAGGGCGCGTTGGGAATGCAATGTTCTTGGCCTCAATGGCCCCAGCCAGGGCGAAGATCTGCAACCAGCCGGCCGTTGGCACCTTGTAGATGGCCTCAGGTTGGATGCTGGGGTTTGGAGATCCCAATTCTGCAAAAAAATCATGATAAAGTGATCCCAAATATCATGTGTATATATATAATATGATATTTACACATCAATAAGATATTTCGTGATATGTCCATATTGAATTGCTTCAGAAAAATATAGAAAAAGATAGAAAAAGTAGATTTGTTGGTTGCAGAAAGCATGCCTTGCCAATACGAGAACCATCCGCGTTCCAAGGATCTTGGAGAAAGAGTGAGCACAAGTTGAGCACAAGCAAGTACTGACAGTTACTGGCTATGACTGTTTTTGATAACTTGAGCATACTTAAGCCATCTGCCTCCCTTTCTGTGCCTCGATGGTGCAAGGCACATCGGAGAACTTGAGGTCCCTCAGCAACATGCCACGAACTGAGTCAAGCATGGCAAGTGACCTTCTCAAGCTTTCCTGGGTCCTTTGGAAAACAATGCGGAGACCCTGAGCAAAATGCACAAAGGTGGTATTGGCGTTGCAAAGACAAGTCTTGCAACAGCTTCCAGTCAAACGCAGATGCTTTCTGTACCAAGGAGCATGGAAGGGGACAAGTAGCCCCCGAAACGTCCAAAGAGGTCTGGCACAATCATGCCAATGGTTGCAGCCATGCCTTGGGTTTTCCAAGCAGATGGATAATTTAACATCATATACATATGTATACAGTTTGTATATAGAGATATAGATATGGATATAGGTATAGGTATACATATATATATATACGTATGTATATATATATATAGAGAGAGAGAGAGAAAGAGAGAGAGATTTTGATATTAGATATTAGCTATCAGATATTCGACATTAGATATTAGATATTATATGTAGATATAGACATAGATATAGATACGTTCGAAATATGCATATAGATATAGATATATATATATATATAATTATATAATGGTAATGGTGTGTGTATATATATATATATATATGTATGTGTATATATACATCAATTTAGGCTACTTATGTCTATGTGGGTGCTTCTCAAAATGTAGGATCCCCAAAACAATAGGTTTCAATACTAAAATGGTCTAATGACTTGGATCTGAGGGTACCCCCATTTTAAGAAACATTCACATGCACACATGAAACCATCATGGACCGTAAGAGTCTGAGGTGCAAATACGGCCGTGCTTGAGCTCCAGCTCACGGTTGCGCCTGGCACAGGGATCAATCAGAATAGACGGGGGGGTACATTTGTACCTGTAAAAAAAGATTAATAGATTTACATATATATATATATAATGTAAATATATCTATACATGAATAATTATACAGGTATAGAATGGTATAGATATTCCCAAATATTCATATTGATATCGGTATACATAATATATATATATATGTCTATATATGTATATATACATACATATAAATATATATATATATGTACATATATATATATACATATATATATATATACATATATATACATATATATATATACATATGAATATATATATATAGGTGTGCAGATAGACATGTAATATAGACTAGAGAAAGAGAAACTCGAAGAACAAGACTTCGTCGGTTCAAAACATTGAGACCAAGATGGCTCCGGAGAGGCTCCCCGCCTGAACTTCTCCTCGTCTTGGAAGGCCATCATGCCAAAGGGATCCCAGTAGCCCAAAGGAGGGCAGGCACCCAGCTCCTATGACCAGCCCAGCGATGTATTGGGTGGCAACTATACTCGTCACATACCCATCAGTCATTATTATTAGTGATATCATTAATAACAATTCATCATACTATATCATACTATATCCCATTAATAACCATTAATGACCATTAATGATCATTAATAGTATGGGATAATCATGAATGATAATCATTAATTATCCCATTAATAGTATATCCCATTAATTACAATTACTATATGACTATCGCTACTTTTCTGCACCTCGTGCGGTTACGATATTTAAAACTGCTGCGACCATCCCACAAAGCCTTGGAAGGATCGAACTGGGCGAAGAAGCCCTGGCCGTCGTTGAACGGAGAAATGTGGCCCGAAGTGAGCTGTTCCTCAGCTGATGGGCCCATTAAATGGTTAGCAAAAAAAGCCAGGGATGGTTCCCACTACTCTTCTGTTGGTCAATAAATGTCAATCAAATGTTCATCAATGCCATGAGTTTTTGCCAACAAGAATAGGGTTTCCGGGCATTTGTTCCCTTAACGAAGTCTGGGATATTTTGTATCGAGAGTAATAAAAGGATATAAAAGGGGTAGGCACCATGTGGACAGTTGACACACATGGCGGTTTCGCAGAAGTGTAAGTGCCAAAGGGGAAGGCAACGATTTGAACTTAGCGTGACGTGCAACAGGACATTCTGGTAGAAACCAAACTTGAATAGATTGACAGACATATTAGACATATTTTGCAGCTGAACAAAATCATAAGGTGCACGCGCGACTGAGACTGTGCCACTCTCCATAAGGGAAGGTCCATGTTCCATCCATGTTCCATTGAGAGAATTCGGAAAGATTAGTCGACGGATCGCCCTTGACACCAAGACTCGACAGGAGATTGTCCTACCGAGTCGCAAAAAACAATTTTCAGCTGGGCCGTGCCTCCTCAAATCCTTTCTGTTCAAGGCGATCTCAACAACCCTCTAGTACAGTAATTTCTACATAGCTATGGACTTTTTTCTCAGCTTATAGATGATGATACCAGGTATTTCGTAATGATATTCATCATCTATTGTCATTAAAGATGATACCATTAAAGATGATGATATTCCAATTAAAGGCCTGGTGTTGTTCCATTGCTTTGTGAAATTACCAGGCTGGCTGGTCCTGTGAGGCCATTCTGGATCAGCATGGCAGTCATGGCAACCATGGCCAAGCGCCCGTTGTTCAGCTCGGTGGTCAGCTTCAACTTTCGCTCGGCAGGGTCCTGGCGAGAAAAAGAATTTAATTAATGTAGCTACATGACTTCAAATGAGGATACACATGGATCCAAATGAGTGGTATCACGTGCGGTATCACAATATAGTGTCTTGTGTCAAACTTGGAATTGTATGGAAATGTAGGTCTCGTACCGTTCCTAATCCCATTGTATGGAAATCCTCCTGCGAAGGTGCTTAGCAAGAGCCCCACCAGTCCCAGCCGTCCCAGCAGCCTGGATCTTCCTGCCCCAGTAGCCAGTGCCGAAGTTGCCGGGCTCCCCGTACTTGCCGTAAGCAAAGCCGCCGAGGGACTGATCCTACGTTCGCAGCAAGACATCCCAAATCATCCTACGTTGCAATGGAACAGCAATGGCACGTTGCAATGGCACGTTGCAATGGCACGTTGCAATGGCACGTTGCAATGGAACAGCAATGGAACAGCAATGGAACAGCAATGGAACTCTAGTTCACTTGGCTAACTCCGATTCGCTCCTTGAAGAGCTGAGTCTCAATGAGGCCGGCCACCAATAGGACCTGCAGCCATCCCTCCAGTGGCACCTTGGAAATGGCTGCCAGACCGCTGGGCACATCGGCGAATTTCAAGTCCTGCGATGGGGAAAGGTAGCCATCGAACTTTCCGAAGATGTCCTGGCGGTGTTGTGAAATTCAACAAACAAAAAAAGAGAGAAGAAACAAAAACATCCATGAATCATCCATTCATCCATTCATCCATTCATCCATTCATCCATTCATCCATCATTTGCATTACATATTTTATTACAACATAATATAGCATATTATAACATATTAATCATATAATATATATATATGTGTATGTCATATTAATTATCACTATTCCACACTATCCCATCCTGCAGAAAAGTCGTCTTTTTTGCCAAGGGTCTGGCCACAGCATGCCGATGGTGGCGAACATGCAAATTCGTCCGTGCTTCAGCTCCACAGCCCGGCGACGATCAAAATCCTCCTTGGTGCAGTCACCTGAGATTCGAATCGATGGAAGATTTAAGCACCATGAATCGGCCATGAGAAGCTGAAAATATTTGTAAATCTCAGATTATATCAGTATATATATATATGTATATATATATATATATCAGTGTATATCAGTGTATATATATATATAATTATATATACAGTATATAACTATATATATATATCAGTATATTCAGTATATCATAACTTTGTCTATCTTGTATCTGTATGAGTAGAGTGGGAAAAGACTGGATTGGATAAGAAATGGATCGGATAGGATAAGATACGGTAGGTAGATAGGCAGACAGACAGATAGATACTGTAGATAGATATGTACAGATATGTATAGACTATAGATATGTCTGGTAAAGTACTCTTCCTTGTTTCCGATGTTGGGAAAGGCCATGAAACCGGTGGGTACAGTTTTGCCAAAACATCTGGTATCTGGTGCCCCGCCTCCGCAGTAGCCGATAGGATCCCAGAACAGCAGTGGGTCGCATGCGCCGATCTCCTGGGACGTGTGTTTCACACCACGGGGCACCGGCGGGCACCGGCTTCACGGCTTGTGATTCTATGTCTTCTATGAATCCAAATGAAATGAATTCCACTCAAATGGCCTTCTATGGCCTTCTATGGCCTTCTATGGCCTTCTATGGCCTTCTATGGCCTTTTATGGCCTTTTATGGCCTATGTGGTCGCTACAAAACTGGGATCCTTGGAGGCGTCGTAGGCATTGAGCACCACCTGTGTCTGTACCTTCGCCACTGGGCGGCTCAGGGCCATGGCAGCCAGACCGCTGATGCTGAGCCCAGCCACACCGAGTCCCAGGCTGCTGTTGGCTCCACGGCTTGCACCGCGGAGGCTCGAGGCCTGGGTCGAAGTCGACTTGGCCGCGGGTGCCACAAAGGCGGTGGTAGCAAGGCCGGCGCCCACAGCGCCCACGGCCACAGACAACTTCGACATGGATGGCATGGCGGTGAGATCGGAAAATGCCTTTGAGCCACTGGGAGTCCTGCACAGAAGATATGAAGATATTCTGATATGGCTGTGTCCGGCCTTACCTATAGTTCATCCAGGTTGCGGGGGTCATAGACATCTCAACGGCCGGGAGGTATCAAGCAAACAATTAGAATCTCCAGCGCAGCACAGCCAGTGTCAAGCCTCTTCCTGTCAACGACCACAACAATGGCCGACTTTTGTGACAGTCCCAGTTTCGATACATGTGGCGATTGCCATGGCCCAGCCAGCACCTCACAACAGAGGACAAGAGTGGATGATGACTGTCAGACTTGGAGCCGATCTTTCCAAGTTGGATTCCTCTGACGACCTTAACAAATGTAACCACCAGGACAAGTTGCTGGGAGACGCTGCATAGGATAGACCTGCACGGCCAAACATCAAGAATCATCAAGAGTTGCTGGCCGATTTTCGCCAACTGCAACAAAAATCCCAGTTGTTTCGAGGCATCGTTCCCGCGTAACAATATAGATCAAATAGATCGACATATACGTATTGCTAGCTTTCAAATGGTTGGTTTGCACTTCATTCTCGATGCACATCCCAGCACGTACAACTTGAAGAGTCACGTGGCAAAACGTTCTGCTACTATCAAGTTCTACTGGGTGGCCCTACAACAGCCTCCACAACGCCGCAGGACCCGACCCCAGCCGCTTTAGCGGGAGGACATCTCTTGTAGGGCTTCAAACATCTATCTCCATTCAAACAAGTAGCCAATCAGCATGCCATCCACGGCAGCATCCACTACAACCTTGCAAGCTTGCGTGGCCACAGGACATTTCAAGATGTTTCAAGATGTTTCAAGATGTTTCAAGATGGGTCAGCGGAAGTCCCTCTGATTCATTCTGATTGAAGCACCAAACGATGCGCTCAAAACCTCCCAGCTGGGGGATGAATCCCAAAGCTTCTCACTGATCAGCCAACGGGGGCAACCCGCAGATTCCAACAGATTCCAACAGATTCGAAACGGGCCAAGCTTCTGCTGTCACCAGAGCCAATGGCAACTCTTCTGGCAGCTTTTCATCTTCCGCGGGCCTCGCAAGGATAGTCATGTCTGCCTCGAATCTCCTTCCCCAAAGCACTGGATATCACTGGATATCACTGGATATCACTGGATATCACTGGATACTGAACTTCACAGTGATACGATCTGATACAATCTGATACAATCTGATACTGATACAAGCAACAGTTTAGCCAAGGCACTTTGCCATCGCCTTCCATCTCCGGAAGGGTACACGCTCCGCATGCCCGTGAAGATGCTCCAAGCAGGCCTCCAGCAAGACATCTCAAGAGATAGACAGCTTTCCTGCCAGTTCAAGGGAATCATCCCATGCCATGTCTTGGATACAGATCTTTGAGCCAAAGCCGATTCCAAGCCCGACCTGGAAAGCCTTCAGATTGTCCTTGGCCTTTTGAAAGGATTCAAATCCTCGGCTTTGTGCCACGGTGACATTTGATGCAAGATGATTCGGATATCGCAAAAATTCGCAAAATGCCAGAAGAGAGTGGCCCAAAACTATCACAGGGCATTTTCCTTCCTCTTCAGGAAGTGACAACACAGGAACTCCCCCTCTGACAACACCCTGTCACGAAACCAAGAAATCAACTGAGATTCTCTGCAGTCGCTCAGAAGATTGTTTCAACTCGCGACCATGGAATTGCATCCTGAGCGATAGAAAGGGTGCAGTTAACAGTTGACAAAGATCTGCCTGCTTTGCATTCCTCACCTTTCCTTACCTAGGGCCCAACTGATGATATCAAAAACATTCAAAAACTACCTGAAGATATCTGAAGACAATGTGAATCACTGTGAATCTGCAGCTATTGGGAAGATATTACAGCCTGTATTGGGAAGATATCGGAATCACGTGTCGACTTCTTTCCCGGCATCGATTCGGCATCGCCCGGCATCGCCTCGTGAGGTTTTGGTCATCGATGCCAGATCGCAGGTACAAGACACGTGTAGCTCGATGGACTCGGTACCTCGTTTCATCTTTCCTCTTCAGTGTGAAGCAATGTGAAAATCACAAAATCAACAGAAATCAAGAAAGGTCATGAAAGGTCATCATACCGGTCATACCGCGATCCAAATCTTGTGACCTATGTTGACCTCATGCTGGTTGCTTCGACCACATCATCTTGCGCTTCTTAAGGGGCACTCCAGACTGTGGAGAAGCTCATCGATTTGGTTCTGCGAACCCTGTGCCAGAAATCCTTGCAAACCTAGGCAAACCGGTTCACGGTAGGAGTGACACCGACCTCTATGGTTAAACTCGATTTTTACAGAGTTCCGCAGAGTGCCCGTGAATCTTTCAAACCTCACTTGACTTGGCTTCTCTATCAGTATCTATCAGGTTGTCGGAGTCGTCTCCATGATTTGTATCTGTAGAATTCTGTAGTGCCACCACTGGCATTGCCAAGGGACGATTCACTTCACCATCAATCTCCTTCGGCAAGGGCCATGGGCCACGGTTTCAGGGGAAGTCCAAAGGACTGGACGACTGTATTGAACTTAGGCAGATTTACCATGATTTACCCAGACCAAACTTCCCATCAGGTCCTTGACCTCCAACTCAAAGTGTTGTTTGGCCTTTTCCCTTTCCTGTTCGCAGATATCCACCAATGCCTTGGTGACCATGGTAACCCCATGGTAACCCCATGGTAACCCCATGGTAACCCCATGGTAACCCCATGGTAACCCCATGGACCAAAGTCGCGTGGGTCGGTCAAGGCACGGTCTCGATATCGCTGTTGGTGCGCTTGTGCTTCACAGCCTCCTGGGAGGGAAACTTCTCATGGTGCTCCCCGGCTGCCGGGAATATCGTTAAAAGAACTTGCATATGCCGGATGGGCCTGAAACAGTTGCATATGTTGCATACTGTCTCTTGTAAGAGCCAATTGCAACTGCTTTTTGGGGAAAAAAACACAAGATCTGCTCTATTGAAATGTTGCCATTTACGTGTCTGTGCGTGTGTGTGGAAAGGATTTTTCACCATGCGTCCTCATCGTCATCATCCTCCATGAACTCCGTCAAGTAACCCAAACCAAACCTCAGGTTGTTGGCTGTGAGGAGCAGTGCCAACCACTGCAGCCCAACAACTTGACTTGTCTATATGATCCAAGTGCAACTGTTGAAGCTCTTACATCTGTTGCATCCACTCATGCCAAATATGTATTATATATATATATATATATATTATGCAACCATAGTGGCACAGCAAACCCACAGCCATCAACCACAACCATCATCCTTCAACCAAAAAAATGACATGGAATCGCATTTCCATCCAGAATCATGTGAATCATCATATAAATCATGTTCATCCGATAGCCATACAAAGCCACCATTTCCCCCGTCCGCTCCGCGCCAAGTGACATGAAAACGAGACCCACGGTGAAGCCAATGAGCAACGGCCAGGGGCCCTGCGACGGCTGGTCCGAGGGCTTCAGCAGCGGGAAGAGCTCGTTGGCCACGGCGGAGATCAGGAGACCTGCCCGGATCATCCCGGACTGTAGAAAAAACAAGGAGATTGAGATAGGTGTAGATTGTGATAGTTTAAATGAATTGAGATAGTTTAGATAAATTGAGATAGATAGAGATAGATAGAGATAGATAGAGATAGATAGAGATAGATGGATGGATGGATAATGCAGGCAGATAGCTGAATACCAAATGATGTTCATAATCTAATTTACAGATAGGTTTCATTGACGCCCCAGGGTAGGTCAGGGCATGCGCCTGCAGAGAACATCTGAAAGCCTGCTTGCACCTTGTCGGGTAGACGGCACCTGGATGCCACAGGGGAAAAAATGCCACGAGCCAACTCCAATCGGATCGGCTGCCACCCAAAATTCAACAATCTCAGTTTTTGAATCTCCGGAAAACACAGAACCAAGTCTCACTTTAGAGATCCCAAAAACAGAACAAAAACAGTTGTTGAACCAGTTGTGTTTGGGAAATCCTCCGCAAGCCATCCGCAACTCCAACGGATCCAACGGATCCGTGTTGGATCCGTTAGGGCACACGAAGACGGCGGCGGAGCCCATGAGCATCGCCACGGTGGGCATTGAGATCACCACTCCGACGTATCCATCCATGGCTGCGTCGAGATGGACCGCCATGGCTGGGAAAATCTGTACGTTTGGAAAGAGCTGGAAATCCTTGTATTAGATATGGGAAAAGAAAACGGATCATGGCCATGGAGTAGTGAAGTTCTGAAAGGCTGAATCTGCTTTATTGGTTTGATGGAGGTGGATCAGGTGGTTTGTGCAATCTGATACTGTGTAGGGGCTGTCGATGAAGTCAGTATGGCGTGGCAACAGCTGTTTAGCCGGTTGAGCCGAGGCCAGCAAATATCCCAAATGACTTCAGAAAAACGAAGCATGATTCTCAAGCTATATACTCTATATATATATATACTATATATATATACTATATATATACTATATATATACTATATATATACTATTTAATGACTATATATCATGAATTTGTGTGTTCTGACATCCACCCTCAAGTGTGGGACTGCAGATGCAAACTTGGCACACAATTGGCAGCCTCTTCAACAAGGCGCTCGACTTCCGCCACGACCTGCTTGAGGCACTCAGAACCTCAAAGACAGTTGACACCTTTCAGTTGAAAAGATGTGCATGCCCAGGATTCAATCAAACAAAAACATACAAAAACAATAATCATCATAAATCACACCAAGAGTGATAATGATGATAAGATAAACACACACACAAAAACCAGAAATTCATCTATATGATCTATAGAGAGAGAGAGAGAGAGAGATCATGATAACTCGACCTTTATTATATGGTTATTAAATCATTGGAAATGGTCATTTACAATCATTTCCTCAGTTATATATTTATATTATGAATTCCCATCATAAATGGGAATTTTCGGGAATGATCCATTTCACTAGTTTCATCATCCCATTCCTCCATTCCCATTCCAATTTTCCAGGGTGTCCCGCACCGAGGCCGCCACAGACGGGCTGATCCTGTTGGGATTGCCCCGCAGCCAGCGTCATGATCTGCTCCACCTTGCAGACTTTCTCGAACGGCGCCACCCAGGTGGCCTTTCCGACGGTCCACTGAAGGGTGACCCAACGGTGACTCAACGGTGACTTATACCCACTGAACACCACTGAATACCACTGAATACCATTTCAAATTATTTTGAACACATTCTGGTATTGGTTTAAGATGATTTAAGGCTCTTATACATGTTTAGACCAGTTTAGACACTATGATTCGTATTGTTGTTATGAAAGTGATGGTAGGTTAATTGTTTTTCTTTACTGTTGATCGTGGATGGATAGTTGACTGGATAAACATGGATAATGATGGTTGTTGATGACCCATAGTCATTGGACCAAAAATAGATAATGATGGTTGTTGTTGATGGATATTCATGGATAATGATGGTGGCTAATTATGAATATCCGTTCGAGAATGATGGATAACAATGCTTGGTGCATGGTGGTTAATGATGGATATGCAATGCAATGGATCTTTAATGGATAATAACATACAGGTTGTGTGATAAAATTTGGGCAACGGACAACACAACGGGGGGCATAGTGATCCCACACAAACACGAAAATCCGTGGGTTCCCATGCCCATTGAATAAGTGGGACTGTGATTTTTCCACTTAAGATAAAGGGTTAACGGAAGATCCTATAAGTATCTAGAGCTGTGCTTGTAAATTATCAACCGGAAAATGCATCCATTAAAATCATTTAAAATCCAAATATCCATCCATCTCATTAATAACTTGGAACCAGTTTCTGTACCCTTCTATAACAATCAACCGCTCAAATAAGCAACCACCAGGGAGTGTGGGTGGGCAGTGTTGGCTTTGAACAAGTGTTTACTTTGATGGTTTTCCATTCATCTATATAAGTAGAAGTATTGTTTTTGTTGGAAGGCAACCATTCTGAATTGGACTGAAAACTGCGCCTACCAGGCCTACCTTTTTTGTGGCCACCTGGGGTTAAACTGTAGCATCGCAGCTGGTAGGCCTGGCCATCACTCGAACCTCACAATGATCGCCACCATCGTTCCACTGCAGTTCCACTGCTGAATCTGATGATCCAAAAAAATCTCACAACATCTACAACTCACCCCTGGTTTTTGCCTGTTTTTGCATGTTTTTGCCACGCCTTCACCAGGCTTGTTCACCTCCTCCTTGTGTGGCACAACCTCGGTGGATCATCTTTCCAGCCCCAGGCGGTCCCAGGCGGTCCCAGGCGGTCCCATGTCGCGTGGGCAGCCCGGCCACGAAGGATTCAGTCACGCCTTTCTGAAAGGATTTCGAGATATCCTGAGCGCAGCAGCGCAGCTGGGCAGCAGCGCAGCAGCGCAGCTGGAGCGATGCCGCGATGGCAGGTGCAACTGAGGCAGGTGCAGTCTCAGCAGGCAAATCCTTAGGGAAGCATAGGGAAGCTACACCATGGTCATTCATGGCAATTCTTGTCAACCCCATCGGACCATCGGAATGGGTCAACTTATGAGAGAAGTTGCCTTTTTCAAAACAAGAAAAGGTCGTCATGACATAGCTAAACCTTGAAGCTGCACTAGTTGAATCAGGCACCCTTTTCAAGGGCGGCTCAATGAAATCACGTCATTAAAAGGGCTGTTCTTGCAGAATGCCAATTTCATTGCACCATGATCATCTTGGAACTTCATGGAACTTCAGCCGCAGACATCAATGACTCGCAGCGGTGCACCACAGCGTGTGCCTCAGTGTGTGAGCTGCACGGGACTCTCCGGACGACCAGAAAGAACGTGGAGAAGATATCCGGGACGGTGGCAATCCGTCAAGAAGACCGTCTTCTGTTCCTGACAATCCATGAAACAGGAATGTGAGTCCTACGCCTCATATGCATCAAATACATTCAAATACCATCAAATTCAGATATTGGGATGATTCCATGCGGGTGGAAGCCTCCCAAAGGTCCCATGGCATACTCTGTCTGAGTGACATGACATGACAGCAGCACAAGACTGATTCTGCTCTTCTGGGTTTTGTGTACTTGAAACCTGTGCATCTTACCAAGATGTACCTGGGATTACCTGGGTACCTCTGAACGAATTGTGTCTGCCCTTGCTGCAGAAACCGGGATCTCTCATCCGAGCCTGCACAGCATTGCTCATCCCTACCGTAGGTAGGTACCTCTTGTCCAGCTTCCAGCCATTGACAAAATCCCGCGATTTGTTCGAGAAAGTCGAACACTTTGTCCACGCAGCTAAGTTTGATGAGTTTGATGTTCCAAATTCTCATGAGTTGTTTGGATTCCGGATGATTCCGGAAACACATCAAAGAATGCAGTGACATTAATCATATTGGATTCCATGACAGTTAGGATTGGCCCCAGGCTGTTGATTTCTTGCACACCACGGCTGCCTCCTGTCGTTCATGTCTCACTTCCAGCCCTTTGGCTTCGGGCCAACACATCAAAGGGCATCGTCTTTCGAAAAACACCCTAGCTGTTACTCGCACAGATCAGCATCGCAAATCTTGGGAAACCCTGTAAATAAGTGCTTTGAAGCCAACCTGTGAAAGGAACGATCTGGGAGTTTCTAAGGCAACTGATCTCCACAGCGGCCCTTTTCCACTTTTTTCCACTTGTTTCCACTTTTTTCCACTTTGTGCATTGCGTTGTGGCGCTCCGCAGAGCCAAGCTTTCATAGCTCCGTGGAGGTCTTTCGCATTTCGGAGCGGCGATCTTTTGGCTCGCCGTGACCAGCTGAATCTCCAAATCACATGTCAAACCCCAGCCTTGGCGCGGGTCGTGTCACCATGCCTGATGGGAGCCAATTGTTACCTTTCAGCTTGTGGTCGCTCCGACGCCTTTATGACTACTGATGAGAACGTGTGACCTCATCATGTCTCACAGCAGCTTCAATGACACATCTGACTGAAGGAGAGTTATTCTTTCACACCTGAGCTTCTGTGGACACTACGAACCCTCCCTAGTTTCCGGGCAGGTTTGAAGCAGTTGAATTAATCCAGGGATGCACAAAAGCGGAGAGTGAGAGAGCCACATCGAAGTCCAGTCATCTTCCAGCGTCTGAGCTTCACAGTTTGATGTCGCTGATGTTCCCTGTGACATTTCCCACTCGTGGGGCATCCCCTACCACATTGAGCTTCGAAAAGAGCCATGGTGCGAGTTCGACAGCGAAGATTCACAAGTTGGGCAATGGTCGCATCGTCTTCCATATAATCTTCCATGCTGTTCTAAAAAAAACTTAAGGGTTTTACTATGGTTTACTATAAAAGAAAACAATATTTCGGACATTTTCGGACAAACTGCTTCCCTGGCACCCTTGCGGTAGAAAACATGGTTCGACTTCCGGGTATCAAATGTATCAATGGACATCGATCGACCGTGCCCAAGATCTACCCTTCGCACCAAGGACGACTACGAAAACAGACATCCCAGAGAAAATCGCACGAGTTCACAGCGAATCAGAGAATGCCCTACCTCCATGATCCTTCATGCTCTGCTATGCTGTGAAGTAGAAATCTCTCAGTTGCAGAGAGAGTTGTCGGTCAATCCTATGCAGACCCAACTACATGGGATTCTTGATTAAAAGATATTAAAAGTGGGTTTCAGATATAGATATTCTAGGAGCCAAAGAAATCTTATTTAGGATGTGATGGATGTGGTCTGTCATTTTTTGGATGAATAGATCATATCACCCATGGGATTTCTCTTGATGTTGAGGCATTGGCCGCTGCCACAGCGGCTGCACCTTTTAGCACTGCCGCTATGGACTACGCGAGTGAACCAGTGGAGACGACCCTGGCAAAAGCAGAAGTCAATACGGCCATGTCAAACCATGCCAGGCAAATGTTCATCTGACATGACGCAAAAAAAACTGTAAAAAATCTTCTGACCAAATCTCCGCCCGTCTCCATTTCATGCCAACTTGCTCCAGACCGCGTGAGGCCGGATCTATCTATTTGCGAGACGCCAAGGCGTCACAGGGCTGGCTTTTTCAAAGGGCAGCACAGAATGAGTCCCAGATTCCCGGTGAAATCACCAATTCATCAACTGAAAGCAGATTTGACTCCAAATTTCTGTGCTGGAAAGCGTCACCAAGAACTTCGTCCCTCACTTCCACGCGCAAGCTGGAACTGGGATTGGAGCCTCGACCGCTGACGAAACTCTCAGCTTCCCCCAGCAGACAGGAAAACCTTTCTGAGTTCACCGGCAGCAGCGGCTCCGGGGAAGCGGGTTACCACCTGGAGAGCGAAAAGGTCTCTGGAGACGACTGAGCCAAGAGTTTCTCAAGTGCTAGTGATCGTGTGCGCTGATTTGCCCATTGATGCAGAAATGTCCTGAACAGGGAACCGTTTTAAAAAGCATGCTACATTCACATCAAAATCATCAAACAAAGCATTGAATCATTGCAGCTTCACAAAAATTCAAGGCTCCAATGGCTCCAATCACCAGTTTTTTCGGATCTTCAAGGCTTTCCCACCTGTGCGTGTAGTGCGCTGGTGCTCATAGCTCGACCCATCGGAACCTGCGCCGCTGCCCAGCTGGGATATCTGCGGTCGTCCTTGAAAACGGGACAACTTGGAAATCCCAAGTGTCAGTGGGGTGTACATAGTATGTACATGGATATTGAGCTATTTGTTGAGTTATTTGTTGAGTTATTTGAGTTAGAAGTTGGAAGTGACATAATTGTTTTGATTGCTCAAGGCGAGATACATCGCAAATCATATGCCAGGGACCTTCAATCTCGATCTACCGCCATGTCTGGATACATAACACATATATACGTGTAATGTATGTAATAGACAGAGAGGGCGAATGGCATGATATTGACATAGATATAGATATAGACATAGACATATAGATATAGATATACGTGTATATATATATATATGTATGTATATATATATATGTATATATATATATAAATATGTATATATATAAATATGTATATATATAAATATGTATATATATATATATGTATATATAGCACAGCGGGCGCAATGTATATATATATATATATAAATATATATATATATATGTATATATATAGTTGCAGTTATATGCCTATGTACATATATATATATGTAGTTGTAGTTAACATATATATATATAATTATACAAAAATAATATGTATATGTATATATATAATTGCAATATCATCCAATTTGTGGATTGGAACATGAAGCGGCTCATTCAGTACCCATGCAGCCTTGGTCACACCCACACGCTGCCCATGTTGAGAAAGCCGCCTTGCGTCGGCTGGCTTAATGGGTGGTGACCACTCGATATAGGAATTTTCCATCAGTTTTCCCATTTCGATCGCATTTTTTGGGTATAACTTATGACGTAGGCCATTTCAACATGGTCAACTGGTGGTTTGGAGCCAGGCGTTTGGAATCCAAGAACCTTTCCGCGAAAGGGATTGTCATGGATTATCTGCTAGATTCCAAACCACCTGACCCCAAACCATCCCAAGCCATCAGTGAACCCTGTCTGAAACGATGGCCTCGAAATTTAATTCAGAAACTCAAGAACTTGTGGTCCCCCTGATATTCCGTCAAGGTACACAACTGCGGCTGTTGCAACATTCTTATCATTCTGAAGAATTCTTGAACCAAGATTTCCGATGACGCCAATGTTGTCCCTCGCCAGATGTCAAACCAAGGGGCGTTGGTATCTGCACAGGTTGAATGGACATCTGCACAGCTCCTGCCACTGGCATTGGAATCGGCTTCTGCACCTTCACGGTGCCCAAAGCGAGTGTCGCTTGAAAACATTGGAACAGATGCCAAATCTGAGATTTCAAACGACTACCACCATTCTTGCTGATAGAGAGTGAAGAGAAAGTGAGCAATTGGCACTCTTCGGGACTTGTGGAACGAGTATATAGTTTCTCTAGGTTTTCTGTCATAGTTTCTTTGCTTGAAACCGGGCCAACCGAATCACAAAATGCACCTGCACGGGTGAAGCAGCTTGAGGCAAAGTCGCGGCAGAGGCATAAAGGGCACCCACCTTTTTGGCGAGACCCAAATCTTCTGATCAGAACCATGGTCTGAAATGCAGCTCTAAAAGAAAGTCGCCTGACCATACCAAACCAACCAAAATGGTAGTTGAAGGGACCAAATATGCGGCTTTGATATCCAATATAGGGATGTGACATGATAACACCTGTTTGAAACCCTGAGAACAACTAGGAAATCAGCCAGGAAATCAGCCAGTAAGACGTGTCCGGACCAATCAACCGGTAGATAGAAAAAAGTGAAGCACAACTGAAACATACTGAAACATTGGGAACTACGGGAAGGAAAAAAAGCACGTGACATGTTTTTGGCATTTTTTTGCCATCTGCTGGTCACTGTGGTAGCTTTTGCACCCATCCATTTCAAGCCTTGCACATCATGGGCGATGTCACTTCTCGGAGAATGGCCTGTGAATGACAAGTGGGAAACAGTCATCTATCTTCCCATCCTTCCCCGTGGCTTTGGATATGTATCCATCAAGATGTCCTAGCATTTTTGCCTTAATAAAAAAAAAAAAAACATAAGAATGTCTATGCTTTCGCACACTTGATCTCTGTTCGCTACCACTTTCCTGTTTTCACAGCTCGCTTTGCTTCGTTTGGGTAAGATCAAACAGCAGCTGCTGCGCATCTTGGTATCCTTGATCCGACAACTCCCTCAGTAGCTGCTCGGCACGAAACATGCTGAAAGCGCTCATGGCGATGCCTGCCTCGAAACGAAGCAAAACTCCGATTTGGAGATCGTCAATGGTTGAATGGTGGAAACATTGGAAAACTCAGGAAATGTGCGGAAAGTGGTCTTGAATCTTGAGAAGAATAGAAGAACTATTTAGAATTCAGGTGACTCGCAACTTTGTCCAAATCCTCCCAGAGGTCACTGCAAATCCGGGTCGTAAAGACCACCAGAATCCACCAGGCCTTTCGAAGCTTTACGAACTGCGATAGGGATGCCTTGCTTTCCATGCGCAGCAACCAGGGCACGACCTCCTAGCAGTTCCCAACTCGATACCTTGAGGATTTTCCATGATATCTGACCCAACTATTTTCACTCTCCCAATAATAATCAGATAATGTCTAATTTTCCAAAAAGCAAAATAATCAAAGTATCTGAAAGTATCTCCATCCCCAAACCTCCCCCCAATCCACGATGCCCATGCCATGCCCATGCCATGTCCCGTCCTCCCATCGTTTCGCCTTGGCCAACGGCTCCACGAATTTTCGCATGGACTCCTCATGGCCCATCCGTGCAGCGCGCTCCAGAAACAGCGCAGCTCGGCTGTGGTTGGCCGGACGCTGGGAGGTCTCCTGTCACGTTGCGGCTCCCAGTCATTGCTGGGAAGAACGGAGCATTTTAAGGGAAAAAATACACACAAAACTCGGAAAAATAAAATCCAACATAGACTTGAGGCCCAGGGGTAAGCGATGAAAGCATATGAAAGCTGGCTTGGCAGGGAGCTTGGCATGAAAACACCCAGTATACTTGCAAATTCGTCTGTGTTAAGGGATGTTTCGTCCAAGACAAGGCTTTCAATGTCTTGGCAGTATAGAATGAACGGGACACATTGAAGGGGGATCAGTGTCACATATGAAGAGAACACAAATATATCCCGGGCGTGAGTATAACGAGGAAACTCCCACTTAGTAGCGCGGTGGTCACTAAACAGGAAGATGCTGCAAGGGTGCACTTTCGGCATCGGAGTGGACCTTTCAAGGCTTCGAAGTTGCAAGAGAAGAAGATGTTGGAAGCGCGGCTAGGTAGGATGTCATGAGGACAAAAAGCGGAAGCATGCCAGCGCAAGTGCTCCGGAAGGATCTTCGCAAACTCATATGCATGAAGGAGTATTATGTTCAAGACAGGCTTGTGATTGTGAGAACTGACTGGAAACTACATGTGAAGGTTCAAAATGAAAATGAAGCTACGTTTCATGGCTAGCCATGAACGTGCCAATAGTGAGCGGCGCTGCACCGGTGACTTGAAGCATGCGCTATTGACGACGCCAATGATGCTGAGGATGCGGATGCTGCCGATTTTGCTGCCGGTGGCGACATGCCGATGGTGTCCCCGGAGGGGATTGAGGTAGTTAAGTGTGAAGTTTCATGCGATTGGAGATTGCAGCCCAAATACCTTGCTAAAGCAAGAGGGACTTCAGCTAGCAAAAGCTAGCTTTGGTGAAAAACCCATGGCTTTTTGGCTCCAACTTTCAAGGACTTCCTGTTGATTTTGCAACCAGTTCTGGGAACCATCCTTTTTGCCAGGCTGTTCTGATATTTTAGACTAGTTTAGTAGCCAAACAATTGCTGGTTCGGGGATGTTTTTCGGAAAGGTGTCAATGTTTGACCAGTTGAAGTCATGGTGATTCAGTGATTCTTGGAAATGACAACTTCACAACCAGTTTCTGCACAATAGAAGACAAGTTGGCAACAAACAGAGCTCCCATGAAGTCTCAGGTTGACATCTCCTGTGAGTACATCAAGTAGCTCTGGTACATGGCCTCCACGGTGAAGTCCGCCGCGCGTTCGAACCACTGGGTGGCCAGATCCAGGTCCTTTGGAACGTCGCTGCCATCACGATATCCAGCAGCCAGCTGCCCCATGGCCTGAACGGAGACGGAAAGGAGGCGTAAAAATTGGTTGGAAAGCCTCAGCACTTCAAATCACCCAGATATATATATATATAGATAAATATATAAATATATTATGTATATATATATAATATTGTATAAATGTATACAGATATATTTTATATATATATATATATAATTATATAGATCCTATGTAATATACATAAATAATCATGTAATTACTATTTATGATGTAGTATCTTCAAAGATCTGATCTGCAGAAATTCTGGCTTCTCTGAACACCAAAGCCATCTCAGCCAGTGGACACCAGGCCTTGCTATCTCCGAAATGGGCACCTTCCTCGAAGAGCCTCATGGCACCGCTGAGGTTGCCACGTTTCTGCTCCCAAAGACCCAGGTAGAAACCTTGGGGACGGGAGAATCTTTTCAGGAATGGAATTATCAAGAAAAAATGGGAGGAGTTCCCCTATGGCCCTATGTTTCTCTTAAAACAATTCTGGGACTTGAGTTTAACTTATTAACAATTCATTGGATTTGTTCCAAAAAAAAAAACTGCAATCGATCCAAGAGAGACATGCATCGATCTCCCCATTCCGCCGGGACTTCTCGAACCATTCCGCAGCTTCTTCTAGCTGCGGCTTCTGAATCAAGCCATCCTTGCGGGCCACGAGACAACTATCATCAAGAATCCCTATGAGTATCTCTATTATATATATATATTTATTTATTTATTTATTTATTTATTTATGTATGTATTTATTTATTTATTTATCTATTTATTTATTTATTTAATATATACATAATATATACATCTACATATAATTTATAGTGACATAACTCCTTTCAATCAGTCGGCCCTGTCCTCATGGGCTTTGCCAAAGTACAGCTGTGCCCGTGGGAAGCCGCTCTGTGCCGCCGACTTCAACCAGGTCCAACTCTCCATGGCAGTGCTGGCGCGCATGGCACGCAAGGTCTGTGCCACGGGGTCGCCCTCTTCGGCTTCAGCCTGCCACCAATTCTCAGCCGCCGAGCTGCAGTCAGATGAATCCTGGAACCACATGGCCCAACTCCAGCGTTCGCCGCTCACCACATGCACCCCATGTAAAAGATCCGATTGATGCACCACAGTATCACCTTTCTGCAAAGGTATGAAGGACTTCTCACCATTTCCCGTTGTGACAAAGAAACCGCCTTCAAAGTCCTGGTTCGTTGAATCAAGGCTGACGACCACCGAAACATAGGAGGGGATATCCCAATGCGTGTCATGGCTCCGCCGTTCGTTCTCCAGGTATCTTCGGATCATCGAGTGGCACACGGCACCTGCCTTTGGATAACGCGCCCAAACAAACGGCTGGATGCGATCACGCAGGATGGGTTCGGTGATGTCCCGAAGCCTCTGGCGCAAAGATTCTCGAATGGGGTCATGCGCTTTTTGAGCACCCGCACTGGAGATGATGAACTCGTACGTCACCATCCTCAAAATCATGGAACACAGCATCAGAGCTTACTGAATCACAGAGGAATTTACCCCATGATTACAATTGACTGTTTGATCTGGTTCAATTGCATCTCATCCTTGTGGTTCTTGATTGCCAGAACAATCCCTGACAATGGTATCTAGATAAATAGATAATATATATATATATATTGTATATTATACATATATATATATATTGTACATTATACATATATATATATGTACCTATTATTATTATAAAAATATAATAATTTTTTTACCTTAAAGTTAGGTGTTGGATGTGTCTCAGGATCTTATCCACTCCATCAATGTCTTCGTCGAAGTCCTCCGGCGCGGCTTGGAGCAAGGCTTTCATGGCATCCGCTTCACCCGGACTCAGCAAGGAGGGCAAAATGCTGAACTTCGCACGCCACTTGGACAGCGGCCTACGGATGGCAACCGTATCCACTGGGTATCCAATGAATCAGCAAAATTATGCAAAATTCATCAAATTTGCTAAGTTTTGGAATTCAACCAACCAGTTTGAATGGAGGGTAAAATAGGGTAAATATGTTTGAGCCATACCACCCACAAGAAATACATGTCGAGCTCTAGTTTTTCGTGATGTTCCTAGAGTCGCAGCCCGGGCACCACTTCACATAGCCTACCACTGCAGAGACCAGCCAGGGTTGTTGAAACCATCTCAGCAAACCTCGTCTTTGGAGTTGCAGGTCCTCCACAGTTCGACAGCCCCAAAGTCAGAAGTTTGATGGTGCATTGTGGCAGGAGTCTAATCGGAAAATGCCAAAAGGTTCTTAAAGACTTTTCATGAATCTAAAAAAACGCCAGGCCAACCGTGCTAGCTCCTCCTGGTGTGTCTCCAAAAAGCTTGGCAAATGCTCTTCCTCCCGCCAGAGTTTGACGGCATGGCCCTCATGCATACGAACATCATGCGGGTCACCGCAACCTTGTAGACCTTGCAAAACGATCAGGGCACAGCCCAGCCACCAGCGGCCCCAGCGGGCCCAGTGGGCGCACCCATTTGGGTGACCAGATCCCATCTAGTTGGATCATCGACGGCCAATGACCTTTACATACCATCAGCCTAAGAAGAAAAGTTGTTTCTTAAAAGAGAAATTAATCAACCAGGAAAGCTCATTGTATGGTCAATGATCCTTCCATACTCTATCATTTGTTCCAAGAACCCGAAGGATGTCCTTCCATACTCTATCATACTCTACAATTCTACAACTATTTAACTAAGCATGTTTTAGCACAAGAAATATTCCTTGCAGAATCTATCTGGCCATCCCTGTGTCTGAGGCTCAAAGGAGCTGCGAGGAAGAACATCGCCAAATCTCTGACACATCGGCCCATGGCATACCCTTGCTGCAACCATCCTCAACCACAGTCTCTCAGAACTGGAATTCATGTGGTAGCATTCGCAGTGCTAATATTCGCACACCCATTATATAATAACATTTACATTGCTTGTTTGATTTCACCTTAGTCATTCTGTGCAGAAAGAGCAAAGGACATGTCCTGTGTTCAAAGATGGCATCTCACTGAGTCTTACTGGGCATGCACATTCACGCCAGTTGTGCCTGCGGAGGGACGGGAGCCCCAGGGGATCGTTGCGGTGAACTGACACCTCGCCGAGAGGTCTGCTGTCACAGCCCACACAGCACGACAAGACGTCGGGTGATGCGACACACGACACAGGGCCCCAGCTGCCATGTCGTGGAAGGGGGTGACTCTGCGGACTGACAGGCCTGACACTGTGGGGGATGCGACTAAGGGACTAAGGTGTAGGGAATCCTGAGGTCCAAGGCACCCCTATTCGCTTTCGATTTATAAACACTGTGATCTCTGCCACGTCATCAGTTCAAAGAGGCGTGATGAAAAGATGGACGGGTTCTCCAATAGAGAAAGCGCCGTCCTTATTTCTTCCCAATGTTTGAATTCGCAGCAACACCCCGTTATAACCTGTGCTCCCTAAGTGGAGAGATTGTTCTTTTTTTAGAGAAACCATAACCATCGGCAAAGCCACCTTTCTATCTCAAGACTTGCTCCTTAACAGCATGAACACATAGATATATACTGTGTATACATATGTATATGTATATGTATATATATATATGTGAATGTTATATATGTGAATGTATACATATCATATACTATATATATATATTCAATTGGATACATGGCATCAACCAAAAGCTCGTACCCGGCAACACGCACCTCACAGCGCGTGGCATGGTCACCTGGAACATTCAGCCAGGAAAGGATCAGGGTCCAACCACCTGCAATAATCAAACATGGCTAGCTGGGAAATCCCCTATAAAAATTCTATAAATGTAGGATTTGATGGGAATTTTCATATGGCCGTGTTTGATTATTAAATTGTGTTGAAACATGTTGCAATCAGAAGGACACATCCTTCTGTCATCGGCGAGACTTCATTTGGTCATGGCTCTCTAGTGGACTTCATGCTTTAGGGACTCTAAATGTCCAGTTCTACAAGTTCCATTTTGGGTCCGTAGCGTTCAGCCATGCCCAAAAAGCATCAAAGACCAAATGATGACCAACTGATGAACATATGCATCCAATATATCTAACATCCTTGATATTCTTAAGTCTCATGCCTGGTGAATATCCTATCACCAACCTCCTCCTCCAGCACTGCTTGGTGAAGAATCCTGTTGTGGCAGTGAGGATCGGCAACCACACTTGAGGAAAACTCCACCAAAATGGGGACAGAACCCATTTTTAAAAAGCTATGACATGATCAAACCTGGGGATGTAACCCCTTTAGCTATGGTCACATTTAAATATATATATATGTATACATATACTAATATATTATATATATATACATCTACCTCCAACGAAGGTCCAGGAAAAAAAGAAGGACGATTTCCAGTTTTCTGTTGGAAGTCCGGCCTCTGCTTGGTGACGGGAGAAACCTCCATGCTGACCTTGGTTCATGCCAAAAAGGGAGAAAAGACCAGAATTATGGAGTGGATATCTATCCATATATGGATACCTCCATACCTCCAGTGGATATAAATATGAAATATGGATAGATATGGAATGGATAGATATGGAGTGGATCTAGAGATTTCAGAGCCAAGACATGGAGGGGAGCCCCGGCCTTTCGCTCTTGGATCAATGCTGCGCATGATGCACTGCCTGGCAAATGTCGGACTTCGACAGTTCCATCCCACCCTGAACCGATCCTGGCCCAAAGCGTGGCAGCATCACGTGCCAGTTTGCTCATAGATACAACATCTTCCTGCGGGAGATAGGATATCGAAAAATGATGCACGGCAATAGCATGATAGTGATGCCATGCAGATACACAAATGGCACATATGATTTCCAGCAATACAAAGGAAGGACCCAAAGAAACGCCTTGTTCTCCTGGCTGCGTGGGACGGGAGAGTCTTGCGAATCATCCTTGGCAGTTGCAGGTCTCAGCCAGAGTTGCTCAGGACTGGGTTTTATATGTGAGATTATGTGATGTCACAAATATATGCTTCGAGAAGATGGATTTATATGCTTTGTATATAATTAATATATATATATAATCATGTGAGTCTCTGTCGCATGGCCAGATTGATGAACAAATGCTTTGAAGCATGTCTCTGTCAATGATGTCATGCTGATGTGCTGCGGAGGGTGATAAAAGTTACCAGTATGTAGAGCCGGACTGTGGGGTATAATACTTCGTATCAAGTTTCCAAAATCGCCCTGGAGCGCAGCTTTCCACCGGTGAAGTGCACCAAGTCCAAAGCGCACCCTTTACCCAGCATAAACACCAGATGTCGTGCACTTCTGTCAGCCAATACCGGGCGGCAGTCTCAAGCAGGTTTAGTCAAGTTATGTGTGGATCATCAGGTAATTACAGGTAATTACAGGTAATTACAGGTAATTACAGGTAATTACAGGTAATTACAGGTAATTACAGGTAATTACAGGTAATTACAGGTAATTACAGGTAATCCGCCCACACCGCTTTGGCGGTGAAGGCGTGCTTATTGGGGGGCAAAACAGCAACACTAAATGCTCAATGACATTTGTTAATATAGCAGTCGCTATATCAGCTTTAGCTGGGGGGGGGGGCCAAAAACGGTTTCGCACCGAGACCAGAATACGGTGGTGTTTTCGACATTTTTCGAAGATTTTTGGGTGTCTGAGCGCAAGAGGGTATTGAAATGGAATTTTGGGTCATTTTGGTAGCTTTCCGGCAATGGAAAAACGGCCAAAAATGAAAAAAAACATTGTACATAGCAAGATTTTGCAGGGTTTTTGGATGCCAGAGCATTGAAAACACTGCAAAAACAAGTGTTTTGGACTGACGTTATAGCAAAAAACGTGTAAATTACCGTATGCTTGACTGGAAACATTACAAAAACACTGTCAAAAGCAATGTTTTGGAAGGATTTACTGCCTTTATGGCAAAAAACGTGTAAATTACCGTCTGTTTGACTGGAAACATTGGAAAAACACTGTCAAAAACAATGTTTTGGAAGGATTTCTTATATATATGTTGGAGTTGGCTACCGGCATTGGAACATGGAAAAATTGAAGAAAACACTGTAAATAGCGGTATTTTCAACGGTTGGGGAGATAAGGGAATTGGAAGCATTGTCGAACATGATGTTTTCGACCGGTTTTATGGCGACAAAAGTGTAAAGTACCGTGCTTTGAAGGAAACCATTGCAAAAACATGGAAACACATTCAAAGAACACGGGATTTGGGGGACTATCTAGGCGTCGTTGTCTAGCTATTTGAAATTCCGCAGCTTGGAGAGCCTCCAAGGGAGGGAAAAGTGAAAATTCCATAGCTTGGGAAGCCCCCACGGGGGGGAAAAGTGAAAATTCCCTAGCTTGGGGAGCCCCCACGGGGGGGAAAAGTGAAAATTCCCTAGCTTGGGGAGCCCCCACGGGGGGGAAAAGTGAAAATTCCCTAGCTTGGGGAGCCCCCACGCGGGGGAAAAGTGAAAATTCCCTAGCTTGGGGAGCCCCCACGGGGGGGAAAAGTGAAAATTCCCTAGCTTGGGGAGCCCCCACGGGGGGAAAGTTAAAATTCTTAGCTTGGGGAGCCCCCACGTGGGAAAACCACCCTTAGCCCCTCTCACGGACCGAAATAAACCTGCGGTGTGGGCGGCCACCCCACGCGAAGCGGGTTGAATTACAGGTAATTACAGGTAATTACAGGTAATTACAGGTAATTACAGGTAATTACAGGTAATTACAGGTAATTACAGGTAATTACAAGTAATTACAGGTAATTACAGGTAATTACAGGTAATTACAGGTAATTACAGGTAATTACAGGTAATTACAGGTAATTACAGGTAATTACAGGTAATTACAGGTAATTACAGGTAATTACAGGTAATTACAGGTAATTACAGGTAATTACAGGTAATTACAGGTAATTACAGGTAATTACAGGTAATTACAGGTAATTACATGTAATGACAGGTAATTACAGGTAATTACAGGTAATTACAGGTAATTGCAGGAAGTTACAGGTAATTACAGGTAATTACAGGTAATTACAGGTAATTACAGGTAATTACAGGTAATTACATGTAATTACAGGTAATTACAGGTAATTACAGGTAATTACAGGTAATTACAGGTAATTACAGGTAATTACAGGTAATTACAGGTAATTACAGGTAATTACAGGTAATTACAGGTAACTAATTACAGGTAATTACAGGTAATTACAGGTAATTACACGTAATTACAGGTAATTACACGTAATTACAGGTAATTACAGGTAATTACAGGTAATTACAGGTAATTACAGGTAATTACAGGTAATTACAGGTAATTACAGGTAATTACAAGTAATTACAGGTAATTACAGGTAATTACAGGTAATTACAGGTAATACGTTAACAGCGTAATTACAGGTAATTACAGGTAATTACAGGTAAGTTCAGGTAATTACAGGTAACAGGTAATTACAGGTAATTAGGTAATTACAGGTAATTACAGGTAATTACACGTAATTACAGGTAATTACAGGTAATTACAGTAATTACAGGTAATTACAGGTAATTACAGGTAATTACAGGTAATT